TAAAAAAGCTGTTCAGGAAAAATTATAATACCTTAAAAAATGAAATCGAAGAGGACCTCAGGAAATGGAAAGACATCCCTTATTCATGGATAGGAAGAACAAATATTGTAGAAATGGCCATTCTCCCAAAATTGTTATACAGACTTAATGCAATCTCAATCAAAATATCACCAGCACACCTCACAGATCTAGAGACATCACTCCTAAAATTCATCCAGAACCAGAAGAGACCTAGAATAGCAATGGCAATTCTAAACAACAAAGGCAAGGCAGGAGGCATCACAATCCCTGTTTTGAAGTTATACTACAAAGCTACTGTAATAAAATCAACATGGTACTGGAATAAAAACAGATGTGAAGATCAATGGAAGATTAAAAAAATACAACCACAACTACAAACACACTCAACCACCTTATCTTTGATAAAGGGGCCAAACATGTTTATTGGAAGAATGACAGTCTCTTTAATAAATGGTGCTAGAAAATCTGGCTATCCATATGCTGAAAACTAAAACTAGACCCATGCCTATCACCATGTACTAAACTGAAGTCTAAATGGACCAAAGATCTAAATATTAAAACAGAAATACCAAATCTGTTGGAAGACAAAGTAGGTAGAAATCTTGAAGACATAGGGTAAGTAGAGAATTCATGAACAAGACCGCACCAGAAATACTTTCCAGAATCAATAACTGGGATCACATCTTATTAAAGAGTTTCTGCATGTTGAAAGAAATCTCCAGCAAAGTGAAAAGAAAACCCACAAATTGGGAAAAAATCTTAGTGAACTGTCCCTCAGACAAAGGACTTGTGTCTAGAACATACGAAGAATTTAAAAAATCAGATCCCCCAAATTCAAAGATCCAATCCAAAAATGGGCATCTGAGACGAATACACAGTTCTCAGATGAAGAAATACAAGTGGCAAATAAATACATGAAAAAATGTTCAGCATCATTGGTCATTAGAGAAATGCAAATTAAAACCACACTGAGATTCCATCTTACTCCAGAAAGATAAAGAAAACTACCGACAACAAATGCTGGAGAGGCTGCGTGGGAAAAAGGAACTCTCCTGTACTGGTGATGGGAGTGCAGACTTGTGCAGCCACTGTGGAGGTCAGTCTGAAGGTTCCTCAAAAAGCTGGGATTGGAAGTCCCATTTGACCCAGCTATTCCACTTGTGAGCATATTCCAAGAAGAATCAAAAACATCATATCACAGTGATATATGTGCACCCCTATTTATAGCAACACAATTTATAATAGCTAGATCTTGGAAACAACTTAAATGCCCATCAACTGAAGAATGGATAAAAAAAATGTGTTATTTCTATACAATGGAGTGCTACTCAGCTATAAAAAATGATCACATTGAGATATTTATAAATAAATGGATGCAACTTGAGACCATACTCATAAGTAAAATACAGCAAACTCACATGTGTAAATACCATAACTATATGGTGTAAGAAATGGTAAGAGTACATAAGATACAAAAACCTCAATAAATACAGTGAAAGGATAAGAATCTGCTCAAAGGGGAAAAATAATATCTCAGGGAAAAGGAGGAAAAAGAAAAAGGAAGGGAAAATATCTAAAATTATATAAACACACTTAGGATATCTAAAATGATTGTGCTACAAATTCTATAAGGTCTTAGAACAAAACAGTTAATATTCATAGGATTGGAACAATTGTGCATATTATTCTTTGGTGATCTGAGGAACGCCTGAAGATCATTAAGTAAAATAACCACCCTAGTTATGCTCCTACCACCTTGTTTTGAAGGCCTCTATTGTCAGTATTTTGGGTTCTTTGCTACTGTTATATATTTGTCTTTTTTGTTTCGTGTTTTCCTAGTAATTTGTTTTGTTTAGTTTTGTTTTTCCCTCTAATACAGAAAGGATAGGTATACATGTAGGGACTTATACATGTGTAGAATTTCTCCTAAACAGTTTACAAGAAATGATTATATAATGCATGATAAAATAAACAGCTACTTTGAAGCTGATTCCGTATCATCATGCTGTGAAATCCAGTAATGCCATTATTCTTTGACCAGAGTGAATTTAATCTGTTTTGTATTGTTTAATTTCAATACAGAAGAAGGTATAGATAGCTATTTTGAAGAGAACCAGAGACATTATGGCAGCCATTGTTGATTTCCCCATTGTCTGGTTTTTGTTTTAAAGAATGAAAGCTTTATTTATTTCAAACGTAATAAAATCCAAGAAAACAAAATAAAGCAAAGCAAAACAAAGCAGTGAAATTCATACACAACTTTGAAGCAGGATACTAGGAAAACAATGGCTACCATAGTTTATCTTGTTATCTTCACAATAGTTGTCCATTCCACCAAATATAGCAAAATCAAAGCCAAACAAAACAGAATAATCAAAACAACACTGAATAAAGAAAAACAATTGGAACAAAACAAAACAGAACAAGGAAATCCTGCATATTTGCTATATTGCATACTGTTATTCTCCCAATAAATGCTCAGACTGCTGGCCCCAGGTTTTCAAAATTAACCAAACAATACAAGCATTCAGTTGCTTTTTGTACTTCAGTTGCTTCAACTCAGTCTTCCCTGTGAACTGGCTGGTTGCTTAGGGGACAGGTGGTGTTGGTTCTCAGCCCCTGAGCCAGTAGGCTCACCAGAGGTGCTGACTTTTCTCTTTCTGGAAACCACAGGCTTACCAAAAAGGTTGGCTAGTTGGCGTCTTGCTTGGCCCCACCCAGCCCCAGCATGGCCAATTCCATGTTTTCTAAAAATAAAAATATTTACTTGAAATAACCAAAGAGAAAAATATGGTAAGTTGAAGACATACAGAATTTCAAATGTTTGGCTTAAGAGATAGTATTTGTTAAGTTCAAAAAAAGATTGAGAAAAACAGTAGCTGTAGTCCTTGTATGATTTTTTAAAAAGAAAATGTTATCTATTTTAAATATTAAAAGTATCAGTTCTTTGCTATGAGAGATAAGGAAATTAGCACTTTGAAAATTGTTTTTACTTCTTCCTGTTTTAGTGGGGTTTTTTTGTTGTTTTTAGTTTTTGCATATTTGAAGAAAGTTACTGCTAGCTACCATTATTCTGGCTCACTTTCTGTTTTACTTGTCTTCCTTCTTTTATTTCTGGATTCTATTGTCATGTTTTCCCCAGTAAGTGATGATATGTATTTTTCCCAGAATGCTTTGATGTTTAAAATGTTTGCTTTGTATCTGATTTAAAAAAAAATTAGAATGTAGTAAAAATAAAACAAAACAAGATAAAACAAAGCCAATTGAGACAATGTAGTGACATTGGTAGAGAACTTCACAGCAGGATATTGGGATAGTAGTAATAGGTACTATAGTGTATCTCATTATCTTCACAATAGTTGTCCAGTCAATTAGGTATAGTGAAATCAAACCAATAACAGACCATTGTAAAACCAATTGAAGGAGAATATTAAATAGAGCATAATCATTACAAAACATAACAGTGTAACCTTTGCCTTCAAACAGAACACAGAAAGAAATCCCCCTTATTTGCTATATTGCATATGGTCATCCTCCCAAAAGAAGCTCAGAACTCTGTCCCCAGTTGCTGACTAGTGGGAGGAGATGTTTGATTCTCAGCCCACACACTGGGAGGCTCAAGGGATGGTTGTGCTCCCCGCAGGCGCCAAGGGCACTTGTCCAGAGGGCAGGCAAATTGCTTTCTTGTGCAGCTGCTTAAGTCCCAACATAGTGGGGTCTCCGGTAGGTGCTTCTGGTTCTCCTCCCTGCCGGCGCCAGGGGTTTAAAGGCCAATAATACCTTCATTACTCTGTTCTGATCAGTTTAACACTATCTTGTTTGGTATGAATTCATTGTGTGTGAAGATATGGACAACTATTTAGAAGAAAACAAGAGACATTATGGTAGCCAGAGATGAGCTCCTGTTGTCTTGCTTTGAAATCTGTGTCATTTACATTGTTTTCTTCTGATAGGCTTTGTTGTTTTATGTTTAGTTTTATCCTCTGTAAAATAAAATAAAATAAACACCTGTCCTTTCATTGATTCTGTAGGTTTCTCTAAATTAGCTTACTTTCAATTCAAACTTATTTTAAAAATTAACACTATAAATATCACTTGTAATAGAATTAAATGTTAAATACAATGAACAAAAGTCATTCAAGGGGCTGGGGATTTAGCTCAGCGGCATAAGCACCTGCCTTGCAAGCAGGCAGTCCTGAGTTCGATCCCGGTACCAATAAAAAGGAAAAAGACCAAAAAAAAAAAAAAATTAAAAAAAAAAAAAAGTCATTCAGTTGGCCAAATTGGCTAGGCGTGGTGACACACTCCTGTAATTCCAGCACTATGGAGGCTAAGGCAGGAGGATTGCTATGAGTTTAAGGCCAGCCTGACCTGCATAGCAAAACCCTGTCTCAAAAAAAACAAAATAAATAAATAAATGTCATTCAATTAACTTAAAAATAGAAAACCAACCAAATGATGTTATGGCTTGTGTCTAGTCCCCCAAAGCCTCACAGGTGTTAGGTTATTGGAGCCACCACCCTCACAAGGGATTAATGCAGTTCTTGTGGAACTTAGGTTAGTTCCTAAAACAGTCCCAGGGTCCACTATAATATATAAAGGTGAATATTTCCCCAACTTAACGTCAAAAATGGAGGAAGCATTACCGCAAGAGAAAAGAGCCCAGCTTAAATGGAACTCAACTTCAGTTTGTGGGGGCGACAGAAAGTGTCAGAGACAACAAAGGAACCGGGCCACGAACTAATGGGCGAATTTCAACAGCTCCCCGGCTCCACCCCCCCCCCCCCCCACACACACACACACGTTCTCAGTTCAAAAGCAAAAATCACAAACACTAGACGGCGCTCTTTGCAATCGTCGAGAACTACGACTCCCAGCAGCCATGGGGAGAGCGAAAACTCCCCACTTCCGGGACCCAGCGACTCTTGGGCCCAGGCGCAGGTACCTCTGACAGGGTCACCACAGCTGCCCTCGCTTTCAGGGGGCCGAGCCGGCTAAACTAAGCAGCGGCGTAAGGCAGGGCAGTGAGTGCAGAGCAGCATAGTCCTCCGAAGCGACGGGTTGAGGACCCGGCTGAGCAAAAGACCGGAAGAGGCGGTCGACGGCGTAGCTGCGCGTTTACGTCACTTCCTCTAGGCGGGGTCAGTTACCCGCGCAAATTGAAAGTCTGACCTTTACCGCGGAGCTGCTGCGAGGCTCAAGTGTTCTGGCCCAAGTAAGTGAGGCGTGTCGCGGACTGGTACCGGCGTCCCCTTGCGTCCACCTGCGAGCGGACAGGGAAAGTGAAGGGAAAGGGCTGTGTGGAATCTACAGGGTGGGTCCCCGCGGGATCTAACCCAGCGCCGCTCGCGTCCCTCCTCTTGAGACCCCAAGCCATCTAGGAAGGAAAGGGGGCATCTGGCGTGGTCTTCGCGATCCTGTACAAATCAGGTGGGAGTAATTGACCTTGCCAGAGCTGTAGATCGGTGAGCGCAGGGAGTCCGCGCTTGCTGCAGACGGTTCCCGGTGGGTGCGGGCACAGGGTTGTCCCACAGCTCACGTTTTTCCAAAGAGGCTGAAAATACACTTCTTACATGCAGTCTCCCCATTGTCAAATGATGACAAGGAAATGTTTTCCTTAACCTACAGGCCAAGGGAAACAAGCGTGTGGAATGAGCTTGCGGCTGCGCCTGCGCATTCGCATCCCCTTGGGACCAAAGTAAAGTGGGCTGTAGCTGCAGTTCCTGTTCCTCGAGTGCCGGGGTGACCTCCTAAGTTGATATGTGCCATATGGCACACAGCCATTCCTGCCATGCTAAAGAGGAGATGCTTACTCGAAGACATTTACCTGGCCTAGAAGAAACGTACCTAAGTTTCAGGACATGTGCAATGTGTCTGTTTTCCTTACCGTGATAGTAAATTATTTCAAAGTGTGGCTTGCAAACCACCTGCATCCAGATTGCCTGCGACGCCCCAGAACTAGTGCCTCATAGTCACTAGGGGTGGAGTGGAACATCGGAACTCTATTACTGTGTCAGAAGGGTAAGGTTGACTTCAGATCCCGTGCTTGCTCTTTTCATTCCTTCCAAACCCCATGTTTAGTAACAGATCCATGTTATTGCATATCAAGCTATCACTCAATCCCCAGTGCTGTCTTACGTTGTTTTAATCAGGAGTGGGGATTGAGTGTAATAGTAGTTTTAGCTCCAGCATTTTTGTCTACCAAGGGCTTAGAAGCTACAACTTGTATGAAAGAAAGTAAGCAGTTAAAGCATTTGTCTTCAAGCTGTGTTTGTGCAGCAAAAGTCGTTTTCACATTTCTAGGGAGTGGCATTATCTTTCAGTTGTGATGCTCATCTTCCTGCAAACTTTTGAGCTTCTACTATATGACTGCAAATTGGCTTTCATTTGTAGACACTGTGATGTCCTAATATGCACAGTCTTGTAGATTTTTACAGTTCTTATGGGTGTGTGTGTGGAACTGGCTATTGAACCTGAGGCAGTCTGCCACTAAGCTATGTCTCCAACCCTTTTTATTTTTTATTTCGAGACAAGGCCTTGCTAAATTTTCTAGGCTTGCCTGAGACTTGCAAACCTCCTGCCTCAGCTTCTTGAGTAGCTGGATTACAGACTATGCCACCATGCCTGACCTTGACAGTGCCTTTTTGAAGAAAGGAGGACCTTCTTTGTGTTGGAGCACATTCTGTGTGCCTGGAACTGTTCAAACTTTGAAAGTGCATCATAATTCTAAATGTAAAAACACTTCAGAAACAATAAATATTAAGCAACCCTTGAGGGGCATCACATGGAGGTAGTATGTTAAGATTAATGTAAATCCTAGGCTATGGAAATTGGTGAGAAGTTCATTTATTAGCTCATAGTAACAGATTCTGTGTTGGGTTGCAAGCTCTCTTTATTTTTCTAAAGCTTTTTGGTAAATATATTTTGTTTTAAATATTACTGTTTTTCATGTCACATTAGGTAGTTAATTTGGCACAATGGGGATACAAGGATTGCTGCTATTTATCAAAGAAGCTTCGGAACCCATCCATGTAAGGAAGTATAAAGGGCAGGTAGTAGCAGTGGATACCTATTGTTGGCTTCACAAAGGAGCTATTGCTTGTGCTGAAAAACTGGCCAAAGGTGAACCTACTGATAAGTAAGTTTTGATGTGATATTAATTCTTTTAGAATTAAAAATGAGATTTAAGCGTTCAGTTGGGTTTTTTCCCAGAAAGATTATTTTCACTCAGTGTCAGAATTTATTAAGAAATAAGAATGTGTGTTTTAAGATATTGCCTAGTCAATGGTGACTTACTGCTTTTATATTTTTGGCTACAGAAAACATACTAGTATCTATATTAGCAAAAGAAGCAAAGGGAAGACTATTCTGACTTGCTTTTATTTCATTTATAGCCAAAAATTGACCCCCGGTCCCAACTCTGACCTCATTTGAGGCAGGTTCAGTAGGCTGATGTGTCATTCTATTTCTTAAATAGAAATACTAGAAAGCCAAGCAAATATAATTTCTAGACAGAAAAAGATTAGGCCAATATTGGTTTTTATCCTTGTTTTTGTTATTTGTTTGCAATATATAATTTATCTCCTTGAGGAAATGTTCACAGATCTTAATATGACTTACTTAAACATAATACACAGTGACTAAATGGTATTAATCTTGTTTGTTTCCTAGAAGAAATGGGATAGGTTGAATGATGATTGTTTGGGACTTTCAGGCCTATCAAATTAATGCAACCAAAAGTTACCTATAAAAATAATACATGTGAAAATTATAGGAGCATGCATTTGCTCATACTTGCAAGCTCTGGATTTAAACCCAGTTTTGCATAGGAAGTACCCACTTTGCCAGTTCACTATTCCAGAGATAATTTTTGAAAGCATGTAGTTTTCTATTAGCAATTTAAACAATTGCACTCATTATAAGTAAACACTTTTTCATTGCTGTTTTCAGTGTTTCTCTGAATAGTTCATCAGCGAGAAAAACTTAAGTTTTATAATATTTAATTTTGTTTATTAATCAGAAGAACTATTTAAAGTACAGGCAATATCCTTTATTAGAAGAGTGAAAGGTGAAATTCTGTTGTAAGTGCATGGCAACTGTTAACTGCAGTGAAACTGTCTGCTGTATATTTTAATTTTCCTCTAGTAATTAAGAACTCGTGTTCTGTATAATTGATTTTCCTTGTCCACTTTTGGATAGCGCTATTAGTCAGAAAAGGTCACCACCTCAGAAAGCTTGGATAACTTATGGTAATTCTTTATGACCATCATAAAAATTGAGGTAGATCTATGTGTACTCACTTGGAAGGATGTCTATGAAATATATATAATGAGAGCACTAGATATGTTTGTATTCTCTAGTTAAGAAAAAATTTTCTGAAAATTAATTATAGTTTCATATTTGCATTCTTCTAATTGTTGCTTGAGATTTCTTAATCAGCAGGTCCTAATCATTATTACGCCCATTGTCAACTGATTTACAACAAATAGACAAATAGGGTTATGTAGTGAGTCTTTAATTAATATGACTATATTTGATTTAGGTTATCCTTTAAGATTATGTTTTTCTATTCCTATCTTTGACCTAAGGTATCTTTTTTCTTTATGAAAATTTAGTTGCTTTTGTTACTTGACTTATCAATAAAAAACTAAATGCATTACATGATCCATGATTGGATCTTGGGCTTGGAAAACATAAGTGGCCATAGGATGCTAGAGCCAGCTCATCCTAGCTCGCCACACATTACCTCTTCCCAGCTCATTACCGCTTCCCACTACTGTGGAATATTTGCTACATAGACATTAGGTTCTCTTAACCCTAGAATTGGTTATTAAACATTTGTCAGAACATCACTGGTTATAAGAAACATTATTGAGGATACTAGACAAATTGAAAACAACACAAAGGCAAATCCAGAAAGGATATCAAAGAAAAACAAAATTCGGAGGGAGAAAAAGCTCACCGACTATACAAGCCTGAAGTTATCCAAGCCAGAATTTGAACCCAAATCTAAGTTAAACTCTATATTTCCTATGGAAACATTTATTTTACAAAGCAAAATTTTCGAATTTGTTTCACCTGGTATTAGAAGCAAAAATACTACCTTAAGAAATGCAAAGTACTTAAGTGTGTTTTTCTTATTTTAGGTATGTAGGATTTTGTATGAAATTTGTAAATATGCTGCTGTCTCATGGCATCAAGCCTATTCTTGTATTCGATGGATGTACTTTACCTTCTAAAAAGGAAGTAGAGAGGTCTAGAAGAGAGTAAGTTGACTCTACTTAATATCTAAATTGTGCTAATATCAGATGCTGTATGTCAGTGGTACCAAAACTTTCCTATCTTAATTTGTTGAAGCTTGTTTTACAGATTAGTATGTGAACAGATGTCTTCAAATATTTTATGTTAGATTATCACAGTTTTTAATAGAAATCTTAGTTGCTGCAACTAAGATTAATTAAGCAACTAAGCATTGCTGTGCAAGTCTGACAGTAACCATGTATGTGCTCATACACGTGTGTGCATGTGTTATAAATCTGTCCTCCTTTGTACCTAGAACCCCAAAGGATCCGGATTAATATTGTCAAGAACTCAGTATGCACTTTCAAATAAGTCAAACTGTTTCATTCTAGCAAATTTGGTAGAATTATACTTTTAAAACTTGACTCCACCATGTAAATATTTTTCTGTATTTAAAAATCATTCTTCCCTTGCAGAAGACGACAGTCCAATCTTCTTAAGGGAAAGCAGCTTCTTCGTGAGGGGAAAGTCTCTGAAGCCCGAGAATGTTTTACTCGTTGTGTCAATATCACTCACGCTATGGTGCACAAAGTTATCAAAGTGAGCAAATAAATTAAGAGAACAAGAGGCTAAGTTCACGAAACTCACTCTAAATTGCTTGCTAATGGGAAGGGAAGAAAATCAGGGTAGGATAAATGTTCTAGGGCTGGTCACAAGTAAAGGTTGGATGTCAGAGGGGAAGGGAAGAGTGCCTGGAGAGGAGTCCAGCAGTTCCCAAGGGAGAAGCCCTTAATAGGCTGATCTATTAAGGCAAATGCCTTGGATAGATGATCTCATGGCACATTCCATAGAGATGAAAGGGAAGATTCTGGGGTATTCATGGTCACCGCACCTCCCCATAGCCTTCAGTACTTACCCTGAGAGTGTAGACACAGAAAGTATGTACTTTATATCACCAGAAGAGAGAGTTCCTTCATGAATACTAGAGAAGAAACTATGATTGATTGGGCACAATACTGCTGCCAAGAATTGAGCATAGGATACTTGCTGGGCAATAAAAAGAAAGAAAAATAGCAGATCACATGTAGGTGGTGGAGCTTGATGCCCCTTTCCCCATTTCCGAACTTCCCCAAACTTCGGGCCTTGGAAACTGGCCTGTGATTTAAAACAAGGAAGTTGTAATTCCAACTACCTGTGATGGGAACTGTTATTTTTGACACTTATTTTAAAGTACTTAATGGATTCATTTAAATGTGGTGAGTAGAATCTAGAATTTTATCAATATAGTATTAGACTTCTGTAACTTAACAGGACTTTTTTTTTTAAATGGGGAAATCATATGCAAAACTAAATACAGTTTATATACTTTTGGAACATAACTATTCTTAAAATGGATAAATTTTAATTTGAAATAATTTTGTATCTTGTAGGCTTTTCCCCACTTTCTGAATATACAGCAATATTTCTCTTATCCAAATTTATGAACTGTTTTAAAATTTCTTAATGACTGTACCTAGTGTAAAATGGTACTAGAACTAAAATTTGAAAAACGACTTCAAAGGAATTGATTTCCATAAGTATTATTAGCAAACGCAAGTCGAGACTAGTAGTAAAATAGATTTGAGCCAGAAGTTGCTTAGTGCTTTCCCGATTCCAGGCTGGACACTGACTCTGACCTCTCCCGCAGGCGGCCCGGGCGCTGGGGGTGGACTGCCTCGTAGCCCCCTATGAAGCCGATGCACAGCTGGCCTATCTTAACAAAGCTGGCATTGTACAAGCTATAATCACAGAGGACTCTGATCTCCTAGCTTTTGGCTGTAAAAAGGTACTTGTCTACAACTACTACCTGCTATTATATTGATAGAAGTAGTGTAAATGAGCTGAAATTTTTCCTTTTCAGGAATAATTATTTTATTTATTATTCCAGTTTACATCTAAATATAGCATCTCCAGTTTTTATAATGCTCATAATTACTTAAAGTAAAAAGAAAGGTTTTGCCAAGTAACATTTATATAATCTGGACACTTTTTCAGATTAAGCCTTTAAGATTAGAAAATGTCACATTGTTTTATCCAAACTAGTGAGGCAGAGGTGTCCTTTGAATCAATCCCAAAGCCAGGCGCTCTGCCCCTGAGCTGCACCCCTAGCCTGTAAATTCTTTAGTATTATGTAGACCTACCGATTTTACTTTAATAATGGTACCATGTGCCTTATATTTTTCAATTAGATTAGGTAAATGAACATGTCTACCAAGAAGATATTATTCAGTTACTTCTAATTATGTACAAAAGTTAATGAAAAACTTGATCATGATATATTGAGGGAGATAAGATATAAAACTAGGATCTAATTTTTAATAGCATTGTTTATATTGTCTATATCATTCATAGATAACTAGAAGGATCTGTATTAAAGGGTTAATTCTGGGTAACAGTGATAAATCAGAAATTTCTTTTTCTTCTGGAATTCCTATGTATCCCAAAGTTTCCACAAAAGTATCTGTTATTTAAATAATTAAAGATTAATTACTTCAAATGTAAGAGAAGGTGGTAAGAGAAAACACATTACTATTTGATCATCATGACAGCCTTGGGACACAGGAGTAGAGAGGTCAAGTTAAGCATTTATTTATGCCAGTTGACAATGGAGTCTTGGCTCTGGATCTGGACTAGCTCTGTCCTATTCTTCAGTTTAACTTATTTGCATTTAATAGTTAGACCCAGCCTACCTGTCTCACCTATGTCTCAGTGTCACAGTGAAGAACAAGGATTTCTTAGAATTACTGCAATGCATTAGATAATGATGAATCATAGTGATCTTTCTAAGTACTAACAGTTTCCTTTCCTTTTGAAGGTAATTTTAAAAATGGACCAGTTTGGAAATGGACTAGAAATTGATCAGACACGCCTAGGAATGTGCCGACAGCTTGGGGATGTATTCACTGAAGAGAAGTTCCGTTACATGTGTATTCTTTCTGGCTGTGACTACCTCTCATCACTGCGTGGGATTGGATTAGCAAAGGCCTGCAAAGTACTGAGACTGGCCAATAATCCAGATATTGTAAAGGTGAGGGTGACAGCCAAATGCCACATTCAGTTTCTGAAATGTGTTTTACATAATAAACTACTCAGAATATGGATTTTAAATAGTCTGTTATTTTATTTAACAAATAACTAAAACATTAGAACTTTGTTTTTAAAAACTAACAGGCATTAGAAGAATCATATTTTCAGCAGTTGACAAATTAGTAGCAATTTTTACTAGACTTAAGAGCAAAATATCTGGGATAGAATTAATGATAATTAGTGCTAAAACTTCTTTTTTTGACTTTTGTCCTACTATTGCCCTTGAACTTTTTAGTCTAAGGGTAGGATCTCCTTACACTCTTTTTTTTTTCCCCCGTAGTTCTGGGGATTGGACACAGGGCCTTTGCTTTGATCTATATCCCCAGCTCCCTTTTTAAATCACTGAGTTGCCCAGAATAGGCTTAACTCTGTTATCCTCCTGCCTCAGCCTTCTCACCCTTAAAAGCTCTTCAGTAGTAACTTTTGTTTGTTTGAACTATAGTTATAGATATTTATAAAATTATAAATTAAAACAAAAAATTAAATACTAAACTTAATAAATTCATTGCATGTTAATGTTACTGCTGTTCTGAAAAATAACCACGTTTTCAAAACATAATAGCCAAAAGAGAGGAATTACATTTTTATGCAGATCTTTTAAGGTGGCTTGATGAAAGATAGCTGTATTCTCATGTCTTCATTCAGTAACAAGTGCTTTGTATTCTCTGGTAAAGTAAGACACTGGAAGTCACTACTGTAGTTTGTCTGATGCCTTTACCTTAATAAATAAACCTGCATTGGAGCTAGGGGTGTAGCCCTATGGGAGAGCACCTTCCTGCATGCACAAGGCCCTCATTTCCATTGCCAGCACCACAAAAAAAGTAATATATAAAATAAATCCACATTAAAGTTTACTGAGACAGTTCTCTGAAACCTTTGGGGTTTTCAGAGCAGAAATCCCATTTATAGGAGTACAAAGTGTGAATTCTCAGGACATAAGTGGGGTGATACTACGAAAAGACCCCCTGGGTTGGAAGATGGTGGCTTCTGTGGAAACAGAAACATTCCCAGCTAGCCTGTGACTCCATGATCTTCATCTTCCGTCTTCCTTTCATCTGTGAATGTTAAAAAAGTAGTCATGCACTGCTTAATGATGAGAGTACATTCTAAGGAATGTGCCCTTAGGCAATTTTGTGACTACAAACGTGATCTGATGTATTCAGACACACACAGATGGTTATGATGTCACGAAGTGATGTAATCTTAAGGGGCTGCATTTGTATATGCAGTCTGTTGTTGACAGAAGCATCATTAGGTAGTACATAACTATAATAGTTAAGATATATCTTGGGCCGGGGGTTTAGCTCAATGTGTAAGTGCCTACTTGGCAAGCACAAGGTTGTGAGTTCCATCTCCAGTACCAAATCTTTAGTATCATGGCCAGCAAAAGTTACAATGTAGATTTAATTTTAGAAATATAATCCAAAGTATTTTTCTTCTCAAGTTTTGTATTGGTTTTTTTTATTTTTCCTGGATGAAATGAACGTCAAGGATGAATAACATATCTTATTTTGTCAAATCAAGTCTGCTTCCATCTGACTACCACTTATCAATGTAGTCTGTTGCCTAGCAACAAAAATTTGATGTGTAACCAAATTTTTTTTTCCTTTGGGGTTAATAATAGAAAAACCAAGAAAATCCTTATTAAGAGAATTGGAATCTTAAGTGATACAACAAAGTTATTTTTGCTGGTACAGTTTTTTAAGGTAGATGAAGGTAACATATTTCAGTCTCCTCTCTTGCTCTATTGTAATGTTGCTAATGTAAATCGGTGTATTAGGGATTGTATTTGTTAATTGCAGTTAATAATTTTTGCATCTATTGTTAGGTTATCAAGAAAATTGGTCATTATCTCAAGATGAATATAACAGTGCCAGAAGATTACATCAAAGGATTTATTCGAGCCAACAATACTTTTCTTTATCAATTAGTTTTTGATCCCATCAAAAGGAAACTTGTTCCCTTGAATGCCTATGAAGATGACATCGATCCTAAAACACTAACCTACGCTGGACAGTATCCTTTTTGTTCATTTTAATTCCAAAAAAATTCAAACAAGTTTTTTTTTGTTTTTTTGTTGTAAGCCTGAGGTCGTCTGATATAGTATATAACTACTTGGATTGATTCAACAGGAACGCACTGGGTCAGTCACTTACACATATTCCAAAGTGGCTTTTGGGAGAAGTCCTTATGGGAAAGCAAGCTCAGCTTAGCAGGAGGACCAATCTGGACAGGAAATGTAAGATGGCCAGCTCCTGCAGGGGAACAAACAGGGACTAGCAAACTATGCCTATGATTCAGTAACAGTGGTATAAAAAGTAAGGATCCATTTAAGTCATAAACTTTCAAGAGTTTCTTTGACAATAGACAGTATTTTCCTATCTTAGAACAGCATCATGTGATTGGTTGTTAATAAAGACATTTTTCCTTAATCTTACAAACCTAGATACATTGATGATGCTATAGCTCTCCAAATAGCACTTGGAAATAAAGATATAAATACTTTTGAACAGATTGATGACTACAATCCAGACACCGCAATGGTAACATTAAAGAAATGACTACACTATATATTATCAAACCTTCAGTACTGAGCATTTCATGTCACTATACCAAGCTTATGATGCCTTTTTTTCTCTTCTCACCCTATTTAGCATCTCTGATGTTGGGCATAAGTTGAAAATCCAAATCTAGAAATAGTACCCTTAAAAGCACAAGCTCTGTTTTTGTTCATCATTTAGCAAATATTTAAACCGCCCTGCTATGTGCCTTTGAATCCTGTTCTATTTTCTTCTGTTTGTTTTGAGAAAGTTTTGAACCAGACTCAGTGTAGAACAAAATAGCTGTTTCTCAGTATATGTTGTCTACTAAAGAGAATACCAGGTCTGGATCGAATAGAAACCAGTATTTTATAAACTGGAATGTTTTGATTTGAATTCATCCAATTTCTAAAAATACTTGAGACTGCCTTAAATGCATAATTTAACTGTCAGGTAAATTTTAAAAGATATGTAAATGATTACTTGAGGATAGATTACCAGATGATATTTTTAACTAATTAGTATTGAAATAGTACATTTTAAAGATACTTTTTTCCTGGCCACATTTCTTCAATTCCAAACCATTTTTGCACAGTTCATCTTGGGAAGCTTTATTTTCTACTTCTTAGAAATAAGCCAATCAAGTGGCTTGACTCTTCTTAGAAAAGAAACAGATCTAAGAACACAAGATAGATTTATTTGAGAAGTATAAAGCTAGCAGAGTAGAAAATATTAAAGGATAGATATTTAAGGGTAATTTAATGTATTGTGATTCGTATAAGGAAAAGTGAATAATTATTTCCCACTTTCAAGAGACGTTTTCCCTTTTATTTTTTTAGCCTTCCCAATTAAGAAGTCATAGTTGGGATGAAAAAGCATGTCAAAAGTCATCTTCTGTTAATAGCATTTGGAATAGGAATTATTGCCCTGCATTTGAGAGGGATATTGTTTCAGATGTTGCACGATTGGAAGAAAAGCCAAGTACTGTGGGCATTAAACATGTGATTAGCACTAAAGGGTTAAACCTTCCAAGAAAGTCATCCATGGTGAAAAGACCAAGAAGTGGTACGTATTTCATTTTGGCAAGTTAGCAATTATTGGTCATAGTTAAGAATTTGCCAGGGTGTCAAATATTTCCTCCTCTTTATGGTTCTAGCCCTTAGATTTAGATCTTTAGTCATTTTAATCTTTTTTTTTTTACACAATGTGAAGTAAAGATCAAGATTCCTTATATATTGCAGTTTGATTGTTCCAATCCAAATTGTCATAAGTTTTCTTCTCCCCGTTGAATTGCCTTTGTGCAGTTGTGCTAACTCAGCTGACTGTATGCGAGTTTTTAATGAACCCTATTCTACCTTAGCTTTATAGTTAGTATACCTTGAAATCAGTATAAGTCTGCTGAGTTCTCTTGAAAAGTTATTTTGACTAGACTAGGTTCTTCCTGTTTCCATTTAAGTGTAAGAATTAGCTTATCAGTTTCTATTTAAAAAAAAAAAGATGATGGAGATTTTTAATTGAGTATATCAATGTGGAAGAATTTGGCATCTTAACTGTTAAACTACATTAATTTAGAATGTCTTTTTAGACTAGGCTTTTCTGTGTAGACAACACCAGTTACAGGTAAAGGCACCTTTGCCTCTCCTTTTCCAGTAGGTCCCTTCTATTTCTTTTTCTGAATTGTTAAAACCTCCAGTAAAACATGGTACAGAACCACTGAGAATGGAGCACCAGGCTTTCAGAAGTGGGTTTTTGCTTTCATGTTGGAAGTTGTTTAGAAGTACAATAATTATAGTCTCATTTTCTCTTGTTTTCTTCCCTCAGATACCTACATCATTGTGTACACGATTAGCAACAAAAATAAAGCTTTTAACTAGGTCCAGGTTATACACAATTGGTCAAAATGTTTTGATTCCTTATGAACCAGAATCTTTTTCATGAGACTATCTCTGAACCATTGTTTATTCATGTAAAATGGGGTTGATATTTCTACTTCACAAGTTTTATGTGCTATATAAGACAACATATTAAAGTTCCTTGTATATAGCAAGTATACTATACATATTAGCTTCTTTTCTTCTACTGCCATTAAGTAGTTCATTTTATGTAGGTGACCAGTAAGTTTGTTTTGTTAAATCAAGTCTGCTTTCATATGACTACCACTTGTCAATGTAGTCTGTTACCCGGGTGTGCGTGTTTGTATAGACACAGACCCACAGACCAAAACTACGGCAGTAAGTTTAGTCTGCATTTCATGTGACAGCCTTTCAGATACGTAAGGGAAGCAGTTGTAAGTCTTCTACATTTCTCATCTGGCTAACAAGGTCCTCATCTGTTGAGGTGTAGTACTTTGAATATAATACCACTTTTTAGTAATTGCATAATTCTTACAGTGAATCCCTATGACTCTAAAGATGTAGTCTACTTACCATAGGATACAGTGAATATTTATACTCGTGGCACATTTTCGGTCCCTTATCTAGGACTGGGCTTTACTATTGCAAACTAAGATTGCTTTAGCTTTTACTGTATTAACATTCTTGTCTTTCTGCTGGTGTTTGCCGAGTTTATAATTGTATTTTGCTAATTGCTGTTAAGCTAAGTGCTAACATTATTTCTTTTTTGAATCTTTGTATTAATTTCTCACATGGGTCATTTGAAAATTAGATATATATGATACCCTATATCTTAGAATTCAAGATATGCTTAGTTAATAAGATTTTTCTAAAGAGTTAGGCTAACAAGATGACTAATAAGATGACGTTAGTCTAATGTGAAGGTCACAGCTAGAACATGAATTACTTTTGATCCCATGGCAGTCTACAACCAGAACATATATAAGGAACAAATAAATAGCTCCTGTGATTGATATTAAATCCTAATTTGTGAACATTTTCTGATTTGTTTTTTGAGCAGGGTCTTGCCATGTACTGGCTGGCCTTCAACAGTAATGATCCTCTTGCCTCAGCCTCCCTAGTGCTGGGATTACAGGCATGTACCATTATGCCTGGCAATTTGTGAAATTTTAAAACAGCTAGGGGAATTATTTTCGGTCATCTCTGTTTCCTTTTGTGAGGAGGCATAGTTAAAAATAAGTAAATCTTTACCTATAGCACAGTAGGATATAGTTTGAAATCAAGGCCAGATCTCCCATCTATACGTAAAACAAAGATTTACAGGTAATTTTGTTTCTGTTTAGAAGAGCTGTCAGAAGAAGACTTGTTGAATCAGTATTCTCTTTCATCTCCAAAGAAGACCAAGAAAAATGGCTGTGAAAATAATAAATCCTCGAACTCTTCTGAAATGTTTGTGCCTGACCTAGGAAAAGGAACTATTCAGACAAAAAGCTTAAATACACCGCCTACAACAAGAAATAAATTTGCAACATTTTTACAAAGAAAAAACAAAGACAGTGGTGCAGTTATAGTCCCAGGGACCAGAAGCAGGTATAGTTATATCTTCAGAATGTTGATTTGTCTGGTATATTCTGTCCTATATTGATATTGGTTTTATTTTGAATTAGCGCTGACTCTAGAGGAAGGTAGGGGAGGATCTGTTTTGTCTTAATTACAGCTGTGTGTTCCCAGCAAGTGATAGTTTGACTTAGGATTTTTGGACTTGGTGATGCTGTAAAAGTGTTACACTTAGAGCTGTACTTTGAATCCTGAATTTCTTTCTTTTCTGGGATTAGTGAGCTGTGGTACTCTGCAAAGGCAGCTAGCCACAGCTGCCGGTTAGCAGCATGATCATGAGGGAAAACAACGAATCCCCCACACTGCACTGTGTTGCTAAGTCAACATGCCTGATAGGTTAGATGGATTACAAATGCACTTTCAGGTTTAACAATATGTCCCACTTATGATGGGTTTATCAGGACATAAATTCTTTGTCAACTGAGGAGTTTCTGTATTATCTTAGTTCTAACTTAAAAGCCTTGTTGTTTCATCATCTTCTGTTCTGTTTTCTCTCCATACAGACTTAAATAAAAGGGGCTCAGAGGCCCTGTCCTCACATTTTGCTTTGCAGAAATTCTGTTACTTTGGGAAATTGTGTAGTTTTCCTTCCCCCTTTTTACTGTTTCTACCATTTTCATTTCTTGGAGAGCTTTATACAGTTTTACACAGTATTTTCAGAAATTATTTAAAATGGGGATAACCAGAGAATTGTAATATTACAAACCTGATACCATGCTGGCTGCCGTGGTTACAAAAATAAGGGACATAGTTTTTTTATTCTTGGAACACTTGCAGTCCAGTTTTGAAAGGAGATGGATGAGTCATTTTTCCAAGCAGTACGGTAAATACGGTGTGTAAGGTGTGTTCACAGAATTCCAGGGATCGAGGCAGCGTCTAGTGCTGGGGCAGTGGCTGGAAAGGGTGAAAGGGAAGGGGTGGTGTTGAATGTCTCTAGTGTATGGATTTAAGGCAGCACATTCACACCATAGCCAGTTCCACAATGCGTAAGAGGAAATGTGAATGTGAGATGTTAACAAGTGACCTAAGAAAGAAAATTTGCCAGCACCTCTGTCCTTCTGGAAGACTTAGAATAAATACTTTTTGATTTTTGTTTTTCGTGTTCAGTAAATGAGGCTTCACATCATGGGGTGGATCTGAGGGAATGAGCCCCTGGTAATGCTTCAGCCTCCCTTGGGCTGATGTTTCAAAGCCTTCTCCTGTCAAGTCTTCTCGAGTCAGAATACAATGCCCTTGAGTGGTCATTTGAGTCTTGTTTTGCTGACCACCTCATAGAGATATTCATTAACTTGGAATAATGAAAAAGTAGAAAGCTGGAGAAAGTTGACCTTTTTTGGTTTGGAGATACTTTTGGAACTTGATTTCTGTTTTTCCTTTGAGTGAGAATATAGCTTCCTCTTTCTATTTTGAATCTTGACATCCTATATTTATATTAATCCATTTTTCTTGGGTTTTGTTAGGTTTTTCTGCAGTTCCCTGGAGTCTTCTGACTGTATATCAAAGAAGGTAAGCAGCCAGGCTCCAAATGAAACAGTTGTCAGCAGAAATGTGGCCGGTGTCAGTGAATCAGACTGTCCAAACTCAGAAAGCAAGAAGCTGGTAGATGCAAATGTAGCACATAATTCAAGCGATCACATTCCCCATGATGGGACTGTGTTTGCCGATGAAGAGCCTCAGTCTCCTAAGACTAGCAAATTCACAAGGAATGTTTCACCACCCACTCTGGGGACGCTAAGAAGTTGTTTTAGTTGGTCTGGAAGTCTTGGAGAATTTTCAAAATCTCCGAGCACCCCTTCAAACCCAAGAACAGCATTACAGTGGTTCCAAAGAAAAAGCGAGTCCCCGTGCTCCCTGCCTAAAGACAATACACTGTCTGATAGTTCTCAGTCAAAGAGTGATCAGGCAGGTGATGAATTGCAGCCCTCCTATGAAGTGGATTTGCCTGCACAGTCTCAGGACAATATGGAACTGTCACCACACAGTTTAAATGCATCGGAGCTTTCTCAGCCTTCTAGTAAGGATTCCGATTCAGAGGTAAGACAAATCAGGAAGCCTTTGCTTTCAGTTTATGTGTGGGAGAAAATAAGGTGTTAGAGAATTGCGGATGTGTTGCCTCTGTTATGGAAATCCCTGGCTATTTGAACATTTTATCCTTTTGAAGGACTTTTCTGTGTCTTCCAACTAACTGTTCGACTCCTGTACATTTACACTAATTCTACTTCCTCAGGCCATATGTATGCCCGGATAGGAGCTCGAGTTGTGGCGCAAGTTGGCACCTAAGCAGAATGATAGTGTATGAAATGAAAATGATTATAAATTTACTTCTTAAGTCCATGGTATCATAGAACCTTGAATTCAGATATCACTTTATAAAGAATCTGTTAGCCGTCTTAAATTTTAGAACATCAAAAGTATTTTCATGATTTCTGCTAACCTTTAGTTTACAAAAAAATAATGTAAATGATTTTATGTTATTGTTTTAAATTAGTGAAAGCATCCTAACCACTTTTTTCTTCTGTATCTTTTATCTTAACTTTGTGTTTTTTATTTCTGGGTTTGATTCGACTAAAATCAAAAACTCCAATTAAGTACTGCTCATAAGATCCAGTGACATTTTAAAATGGCAGAATGACTTTATCTGAAACTTTCTATATAACATTGTTTCATCTTCACCAAATATGACCAAGCTGGAAGAATTGTAACCACTATAATAGTTCACAAAATTTTAAGGTCAGATAATCCTGAATATCGAATACCATTTAATAAATCAGTACAGCTCATATTTATCAAAAAGAAAATATTTAAGTTCTCCAAAGAACTTGAGTTATATTTGATTCAGATTGAAGTGAAAGCCAAGCTACTGTGTGGAAATAAATTGTTTTCATCTGGAGGAAGCTGAAATCAATTTATATATTGAAGCCTGAGGTTTCCTGTGGCATCTTTAATTTAAAAGTATCTCAAGCCAAAGCTTTGGCTATCTTTGAAATGTTTGCTTTTCATTTTGTTACTTTGCCTTCAGTTTGTTCATATTAAATACTGTTCTTACTGATCTAGAAGACCGTTTCTTGAAATACACTTTTCCATTTTGGTGTCTTTTTTCTTTGTGTTCCTTTCACACCACACTGCATTTCCTCTTAACGCCATCTGGGTACCACCACAGTTGCTGTCACTTGAACATCATTCATAAAAACATCTTTCTATGATGATGGCTTCAGTGCGTTGGCCTAAGTATCCCTTTTCCCATCATGCATCTTCTGTTTCATTTACTTTGTAAGCTTTTGGTCATGTTTTCCTGAGAAGCCTTGCTGGCTCACCGGCTAGGCTGGCCCTGCCAGCATAACTAGGAATCATTCATTGAATCATTGCTCTTGTAGCTGAATAATAAATTCTTCTTAGATAGGTTATTAATTTTCAAACAATTGAATGCTAATATATCTTTGATTTAGAAAATGTTCCAGAAAGTAAAAATGTCTGAAGGCTGAGAGTATCAGTTTTCTTTATATGCTTCTGAAGAAAGTGTTTCAGTATTGGAGCCTTCTGTAGGTCGTTCACTGTAAAAGGCAGCGGCCATTCTTCATTGACCCTGCTGGAGGGGGAAGTAAGTAATCTTAGGGTCTTAGGATCTGTATTGTAAGTAATGATTTAGTCCAGGGTCACCACTGCTGTTTGCTCTGAACAAGGAATAAGAGAGTTATATAATAGATAAATTATTTTTAAATCCTCTTGGAAAAATAGAAAAATAGAGTTTCCTGAATTATCATTTATTGTGGTTTTTTTTTTTTTCTCTTTAATGTTATACATGTTACACAATTAAGAGAACTGAGGACCGAGCATTTAGCTCAGTGGTATAAGCGCCTGCCTATCAAATGTGAGGTCATGAGTTTGATCCCCAGTATCCAAAAAAAAATGAAAGAAAATAGAAGAAGAATTGGAGCTGCACTGGTTATGCTTTTCATAGCTAGTAATTTATGAAAGCAATCAGCAAAGTTGGATAAAACCATTACAGTAGGAGTCAACATTTTGACATGTACCTCAAATGGTTCATAAAAGCCTTCAAACTCTGTATAAACAGTTTACTTCTCCAGCTAAAGCATCTTGCTTATTATCTTCGGTGAAACTGACAAATATTATCCTTTGCATATTAGATTTATTTTGTTCTATGAATTATAGCCTATTTTATATTTTCTTTCCTTGAAATTTTATTCACACTGTTCTCGTTTTACTTGCATTTTGTTGTCACAAAATTCCACAGTAAAAAAAAAACCTAATTTTACTTTATTTTTTGATCTTGGGGAATCTAGGAATCTGACTGTAATATTAAGTCACTTGATAATCAAGATAATCAGAACTCCAAGCAACATTTATCTCATTTTTCAAAGAAAGAGATACTTCTAAGGAATAAGGTAAAATATTTATTAAAATAGAAGCATTGCGGGGCTGGGGATTTAGCTCAGCGGCATAAGCACCTGCCTTGCAAGCAGGCGGTCGTGAGTTCAATCCCCGGTACCGATAAAAAAATGAAAAAGACAAAAAAAATAAATAAAAAATAGAAGCATTGCATACTTATTACCAAAAAGAAATGTAGACAAAATTTAAAAGTTGCTATTTACTTTATTAAAGTCTACTTTTAAACTTCCTAGTAGAGAATTTGTGCATAACTGTAGGTATTTGCAGGTGTTAAGCTGAAGCCGACTTTCTCTTGCAATATAAAGATCTTTCTCCATGTGTTATTTAATCATTACTTACAGTAACTCTAATATCTCATCGTATGGGTTTATATAATTTATTTACCCTAAAAAATTATTTCTATTGCAAACAGCATTGCCATCAAGATCTTGGGAGTAAATGTTGAGTATCTATTCTTGATTAATTTGTAGGATTTAATTCCATAGAGTGATATTACTGTCCCAAGGCATGTATGTTTAAAGCTTTGGTATATATTGCCAAAAAGCATTCTAAAAATAATCCCATGGAAAGCCAGTTTTTAAAACTTTGCCTTTCTTTTACAACCCCCGCCAGATTAATCAGTTTTAGCACTGTTTTTTATATACTTCATTCTTCTGTAAAAAACAGCAAAATTTAAATGGCTCTACATTGTACACAAAGTAAAAATCAATCAAAATTGTTAAAATAAAAAATATCAGTAGAGGTAATAAATAGATTATGTCACATTTATACAATGGAAGAACAGGCAATGTACTCAAAATAAAATTCAGTTCTACATGTGACATGGAAAAGTCTTCCAGGTGTTTCATTAAGTGGAAACAAGAAAAAGTCGTAACTGTGTAGGATGCTGCCAGTTTTGTGTGTATGTGAATGACTTATTTCTGTAGTAGACATTTGTACAACGCATTTTTACATGTTTCTTTTGAATTACTTTTCTGTTCCAATATGTAAAGTACAAAGTATGTACTTTGAAATTAACAAAAGGTAGTTGATTTGACCAAGTATCACTAAAACAGACTTTGACTCTCCAGGTTCCTGGGCTGTATAAATCCACTTCTATGGACTCTCTTTCTACCACCAAAATCAAAGCTGTGGTTCCTGCCAGAGTCAGTGGGCTGAGCAAGAAGCCAGCAAGCATCCAAAGGAAAAATCATCATAATGCCGAGAACAAGCCAGGTTTACAGATAAAAATCAGTGAGCTCTGGAAAAATTTTGGGTTTAAAAAGTGAGTTGCCTTATCCTTATTCTTAAATGGGATAAACTTCTTTAAGTAATTCTGATTCTTTTCTCCTGTAAATCAATTTCTTTCTTCATTCTTTTTTTTTTTTTAATAGGGTCTCTGTGCAGCCCAGGCTGGCTGTGACCCACAGTGATCCTCTTCCCTCAGCCTCCTGAATCATATTCTTGCTAGTTTTTGTTTTGTATTATACTAGAGATCGAACTCATGACCTCTCGATTGCCAGGCAGGCACTTACACTACTGAGCTAAATCCTTAGCCTCTGAATCATATTCTTAAAAATTTTTGAAAACCCTAAAACACCCACATCTATGGGGTGTTGTACTTGTAAACACTTTTAAACATTTTAGAAATGAAAATAATTTTTTTCTTTTAAAAACAAAAAAAGAATAAACATGATACAGACTTTCAAAACAAAATAATAGGAGATTAACACTGAGCCAGGATTTAACTCCGTGGCTCAAGTGCTTGCCTGGTAAGTGCAAGGTCGTGAGTTTGATCCCTGGGACCAAATAAATAAATAATGTTTAATGTATTGCATGTTGTTATCTTCAAAGTAGTTTTTCCAATTATAAGATATAGGCATAAAAAATGATCAAACATTGAAAGCACAAGCAAGCTTAAAAGCACATTCTTTTTGATGAACTAACAGATTAGTAGTGTAGTTATCTATCATTTATACATACATAAAATCTTTTTCTTGGGGCTGGGGATTTAGCTCAGCGGCATAAGCACCTGCCTTGCAAGCAGGCGGTTGTGAGTTTGATCCCCGGTACTGATAAAAAAAGACCAAAAAAAAAATCTTTTTCTTTTCTCCTTTCCCTCAAAATAGATACTTAAATAATTTCCATTTTTAAAGTAGTGATAATAGGCCTATTGCGTATGAATACTGTATAATTTTATAAAAAGTAGTTATCTAGGGGCTGGGGATTTAGCTCAGTGGCATAAGCGCCTGCCTTGCAACAGGCAGTCGTGAGTTCGATCCCTGGTACCGATAAAAAAAAAAAAAAAAAAAGGAAAAAAAAATAGTTATCTTCCCTTCCCCCTCAAAAAAATGTTTCTCTGTTTGTCTTAGTAAAATTTATCTGGATTCTTCTGCTTGCTTCTGCATTTCATAGGCTATGACTTGTTGCTTTGGCAAAATATAGGAAGGATATGGAGCCCAACACATACTTGTATTTGGAAAGTATATATTTTGGATATGCTTTTAGATAATTGTTAATTTTTTTTCTTTGCTATTCTACCAGAATTCAATAAGCATTTTCTTTTTTAAATATTGGGGATTGATCTAGGGCCACATCCTCAGTCCTTTTTCTTTTAATTCTTTTCTTTTTTCAAGGCAGGTCTCACCAAGTTGCCCAAGCTGGGCTCAAACATGAGATCCTCCTGCCTCAGCCTTTTAGAGTTCCCTAACTATAGCTCCACAGGTGGCTCCCTAGTGGAATTTCAGTTTATCTTCGTCTTAGCTATGATTATAAAGCATTGTGTACTGAGTTGTATTTGTCTTCTAACTATTGACCTATTTATAAGAAAAAATCAATCATCAGTCTCAAGCTTTGGAAAACTATCAAGTGTCAGCTACAAGTTTTCCAAAATTCTATTTCAAAAATTTGAGTGTTATCATTGGTAATAAGCGTTGTTATTTCTCTTGAAATAACAGGCAGTCACTGTTCATTTTAGAGAAGCCCTTTGCCAGGTGCCTAAATTTGAGTGACTGTAGAGTCACACGTGTTTTTAGTTGAGATAACCATCTACCTTGGCACAGCACACAAATGCTTTATATGTGCTGTTTCCTCTACCCCACCCTTACCCCCAAGTGTTTTGAGACCGGCTCTCACTATATAGTTCAGGCCGGCCTAAAACTTTACAGGCTGGCCTTAACTCAAGGTAATCCTCCTGCTTCAGCCTTCCAAGGGTTGGGATTACAGGCCTGTGCCACCACACTTGGCTTTATGCCTTTTACTGTCTTAATTCATGCTGGCAGGTCTCCCCAGTTCTCCTTTAGCATCATCAGTACAAATGTCAGCACAGCAGAGAAGCCAGATAAAGTCTGTGTTATTATGAAGATAGTTTTCACATTACAGACACCCTAAAGGGACTTGAAAATCTCCAGGAGTTCTTGCAAGAAAGATACTGTGAATTATGCTAGAAGGAAACTAAAGATACAATAGTGTTCTTAGATACCTTTTAGAAAATGACTTAATTGATGTTGGATGTTCATTGTCAGGAGGCAGAATAACCTGTGCTATCATCATAATAGGATTGATTTTTATGGATATAGAACTTCCTTCCAGCAAAAGGGGCAGCGGGTAAAAATTAAGATTCAACCATTAATTCATTTTGTTAATACTGATTCTTAGCTAGACTTGGGAAGGCTACTAAAGAGAAAAGAATTAAAATTTCTTTACTGGAATCTTTTTGCGTTAGCTGGTATATATCTAGTAGTGGCTTAGCACCTGTACTGAAAGGTGATTTTGAGAGTTAGAAGAAGCCAGATGTGATGCACACCTGTAATCCCAGCAGTCGGAGGCTGAGGCAAGAGAATCACAAGTTCAGGGTCAGACAAGACTACATAGTGAGTTCAGGGGCAGCTTGAACCATACAGCACTCCCATAAAAAGCACCCCACACACACAAAAAAAGAAGAGACAGTAAAACTCAGAATTAAATGGAAGTACTTAAAAGAGAACCTGCATGTGTTTCATAGGGAATTGAGACAGATCTTACACTAAAGGGAAGAAGTCTTCGTATACGTAACTCTGGGGTTTTTTTCCAAGTAGCTTATTTCTTCTCTAATCAGTACCCTAAAAGCACCAAATTGACTTTATTGTATTTTGCAGGGATTCTGAAAAGCTTCTGTCTTGTAAAAAGCCCCTGTCTCCAGTCAGAGATAACATCCAGCTGACTCCAGAAGCCGAAGAGGATGTATTCAGTAAACCTGAATACACGCACGTCCAGAGAGCGATCTTCCAGTGAACACGGACTGGCTGCAGGGAGGCTGTTGCTTCGGGAAGGTTCTGTCCGCTGGAACTCTGTGTTCGGAAGTGAGGCGATTACCAGCCTGAAAGATTGGTTTTTAGGTGACATTTCAGAAATGGAATACATTTTGTATATTAACTGTGTAATTGTTTCTTTCACTCGGTTTTTTATATTTTCATAAAAAGCTAAATAGAAGAGTAAGATTGTCTTTTGAGTTTTTTTGCAAGTTTTAGTGTTTCATTGGGCAAATCCCCTGGAGTTTATGAAAATCTCAAGATTTTTGTGGTGTCCAGTTTGAGACTGTAAATGGAGCTGGGTGTAGTGACACGTGCCTGTAATTCCAGCACTTGGGAGGCTGAGGCAGGAGGATCACCATGTGAGACTTTGTCTCAGGAAGAAAAAAAAAAAGATGGTAAATGGAAAGCCACAATTCTATAATCTTTTTACGCTAGAATAAATCACTGGGCTTTAAAATCTTTCCAGCTGCCTTTCCTGTCTCTCCTCCATAGGAACTGAAAATAAAGTTCCCGTGACAGGAGGGGCGGTTGGCAGGTTAAAGATCTTCCACAAAAGCCGCCTGGCTCCAAGATCACCTACAGTTCATCAGCTCATACATAGACTGACAGCAAAGGGCAGGCGTATTCAGCCTCACATAAAGAAACTATTTCGTATGTCCTTAGAGTGCTTCAGGCTTCAAAATAGTCTCAGGTTTTTCATGTATTTTAAGTGCAAACTGAAAACGGCTTAAAGTCTACTTGGAACTAGTGCCCTACACACTGTATAAAGTCTAACACTGCAGGGTCGGTGGCAGGTGCACTCTACAAACACGCAGACAGAAAACAGGCTACGCATGGAGATCCAGAAGCCAAGGAGGCAGTCAAGGGATTTTGAAGTTAAAAAAAAAAAAAATTTCTTCCTCATTTGCAATTTCTAAGCGGGATAGAATTAACCTGCGGAATAAAGGACCTGGGGCATCCTCGGGGTGTTTGCAGTATAAACGCTTCCTGAGAACACTGTGGACAGCTGAGTCCTGGAAGCCGCTGCACCATCTGGTGGCTTCCAGTTCCTGTTCCCTCGCAGGTCCCCTCTCATCAGCACTGCACTGCCACCGCTGCACGAGGACAGCAGGCGCCACGGGGCGGGGGGGCCAGTGGCCAGAGGTGCAGGGTACGTACGGCTGAGGCGGGAGGGGTTCTCAAAGCTCCCGAAAATAATGCTGGAAAAGATGGCGACAGCAGTGCCAGTTTTCAGTCTCCAAATTCCAGCATAGCAGCAGTTAGCAAAATCGAAAGCTGACAGGCAACGCAAACCTTGGTGACACGTCAGTCCAAGATGTAAATGGTTAAAATGAGCCAAGGGCCCCGAGGACACAGGTGACAGTGTCCAGGCGAAGCAGGTAGGAGGAGGATGTGGAGCAGCAAGCTGGGGGAGACGGGGGCCTGCGGAGCCTGAGGCCCCGGTCCCTGTGACCCGAGAGGAAGGGGGACGTTCACCAAGTTTGCTCCTTCCAGGGCCCAGCTCCCCATAGAGCAGGGTTTCAGCTTCGAGCCTTTCCACCACCGTTTTCACTATGCAGAATCCCCAAGAACTGTCCCATGACTCCTCCATTTCTACAGAACTCTCAGGGGGGACTTTGACAGCGATCGCACTGAATTTCTCTGTGGCTTGCTTTGCATTGTGGACTTTCAACAATAGAAGTGGCCTAAGGTAGGCTCCGGGGTCGCTTTCCAGTTATCTGTGTCCTCTTTCATTTCTTCCAGCCATGTTTTGTGGTCGTGAGGGTACAAGTCCGCCGCCTCCTTGGTCAGGCTCCTTCCTAAGTACAGCCCTTAACTCTTTTGGGTGCTGTTGTAAACAGGGTTGTACTCTTGATTCCCTTTCAGCTGGCCATTCTTAGTCTCCCAAAGTTGGCCTGAGGTGATCTCTATTGAGGACTTGTACACATGCATGCACACACAGACACACACACACACCGTGACTTGGCCTCTCCACCCTCTCTTCTGCCAGATTCTCTGCCCGCCTCAGGGTCTCCAGTTCTCCATTGTGGAGCATAGGAGACTCCAAGGAATCCTGGGTACTTCTGCACACCGCCCCTGCCATGGCTGGACAGGGAATCTGTGGTCCCCCAGGACAGGCAGGACAAGCAGGTCTCTGTCCCCTGGTATCCTACCACTCAGCCTCGAGGAGTATGAAAGGCCCACAGGCCCCTGAGCTCTTCTGTGAGACCCAAGGCCTGCATCTCATTTTGGCCAATCTCATCTACTGTTCTGTCCCCAGAATGGAGAGTTTAAAAATCAGGCATGCTGGTGCACATCTGTAATCCCAGTCCTGGGGAAGCTGAGGCAGGAGGATTGCGGTGAATTCAAGGCCAACTCAGGCTACACAATGAGTTCAAGCCCAGCCTTAACAAGAGAAAGGAGAGAGAGAGAGAGAGAGAGAGAAGGGAGGCTTTTTTCTCTGACAGAGAAATACTGACTTAACCAATATCCTGCATTTTCTGCCTGGCATCTCCAGTCCAAATGCGTTCAGAGAAACCAAAATAAGTGGTGGCACAGTTTCCACCGGACGGGCGCTGTGCTGCAGGCAGGACCAGCGCGGAAGCCAAGGCTGCGGCCTGGCAGGGCTGAGGGCAGAGCAGACAGAAGAAGCTGCTCTCTCCTTTGAGGCTTCCTACTTATTCTGACACCTATATACGTCACTGTTATGTATAAAATACATCTGCAAAGAAGAACAGTGTGCAGGGGGCTTGAAGGCCAGACTGCATTGTGCTTGTCTGGTTACGAGTTGAGAGCGGGTAGAATATTTCCGTGTTTGCTGACAGTATTTACTGTGAAAGTGTTGGCAGAGCTGGCTTTTACTGGGGCTTCCTTATTACCACGGCTGCCCTCAGAGCCGGGCACGACACTGCTCACCATCACAATCGAGAAGATTGGCCTGAAGGACGCCGGGCAGTGCATCGATCCTTACATTACAGTCAGCGTAAAGGGTAACGAGTTGGGTTTTCCCTCTCACATTACTCCTAACTTACCGCACTTTTTTGAGGCATGTCTTGTATCTATGACAACTCATTTTAATTCACTTTACAATGAGGCAGAATTTCTGCAAGAAATGTCGCTCCATCACTAACCATTTCTGATGAGTTTACTGAAAATAGTTTCCTTTTCCTTTTTGGTAATTTGCACCCTTGCTTTGGAGATTGTCTGTCTTTTGTTCTCAAATTTACTGTGACAGCCTTTTCTTTGGCACGCGCGCTTTCATGAGCCCTGTCTGCGGTATGCAGCAGTTCCCTTCCTTGCCAGGCGTTGGTCTGTGTGTGTGTGTTTGTGTGTGACAAGGCTCCATTCTCTCCCTGTACCCCATCTCCCCGCCCCAGCCTCTAGCTCATCTTGCTGTTCTTCTGACTCTGGGGTGCTGACCAGAACCACACAGTCTCCCTGCCAAGGGCTTCTGCCCTGTGAAGGTTGTCAAGCCCTTACCTCCTTGGCTGAGCCCTGTGCTCTGTCTTCCCACCCTCCTGTCCCTGAGGCTTCTGACCCCAGGCCCATGGGAGCACCAGGCCTTCAGGGCATCTTTAGTGGGGACAGGGAAGCAGGTGCAGCCCAGCAGCATCCAGCCCATGTGGACCCTGGGCACCTCTGCCGTACTGAGGAGGTGACAGGCATCTGCTTGGTACTTGCCCTCACCCTCTCTGGTGCAGCAGTGCACTTATCCCAGAAGAGAGAGGCCAGCGCTTACACTCTTTTGTTGCTGCTGAACATATTTGTACATCACTGAAGTATTTTTAAAAAATAGTTACTGGTTGTCAGGTCTGTAATCCCAGCTGCTCAGGCAGCTAAAGCAGCAGGATCACTTGAGCCCAGGGGTTTGAGACTGGTCTAGGAAAGACAGTGAAACCTGATGCTAAAATATAAAAAAACAAAACAAGTCATTCCATTATCCAGAAATAACTGCGCAATACAAGTGTATTACTTTAATCTGTAGTTGGAGGCAAATCAGGAAACATCGAGGCTGAAGTTAACTGGAGAGAACTTTTATCAGTCCTAGAAATAAGCACAGACCCATAGGAGAAAAAGGAGTTCAGCCATAGAGCAAACGTGACTGCACTGTGCTGCGATGCTGACTTCTGGCATTGCCTCTCGGCTGAGATGGACACTACAGGACGCGCTCGGCTCCATGCTCTCAACTGGCTGTTGGCAGAGCCGTGTAACCCAGTTGGAAATGTGTGCTGTAGTACACAGGAGCACTTCATGGTGACGCAGTGCATGCTGAGCTGCTTTTGCACAGCTGCTGAACTGGGCCATGCCTGAAGGGCGGAAATAGGCCATTGGGCTAACTTAGGTGCCCTGAGACACCTATGTAACGAACAGTATATGACCACCGAACAGTATATGAACACTGAGCAGTCTTGAAGGGAAATCGTATATTGATTAACTGGGATTCCTGATCCTGGACATTACAACCCACATGATGAGTTAGTTTCCTTCTTGTGGTTTTAGATGTTATAGTAACTGTAACCAGAACTTCAGTGGTGTACATGACTTTTTCTTTTTTTTTTTTTTTTTTTTTTGTCTTTTTGAGACAGGGTCTCTCTATGCAGTTCAGGCTGACCTTGAGCTCACTTTGTAGCCTAGACTGATCTTGAACTCACAATGATCCTCCTGCCTCAGCCTCCTGAGTGCTGGAATTACAGGCCTGAGCCACCACGTCTGGCCATGACATTTTACTTACTGATGAAACGTTCTGTTGGAGGTTCTCATGTCCATTTTTGGTTCTTGACCTAAATATAACAAGGAAATTCTGAAAATGTTAATTTAAATCTCTTTCCAAGTCATGCAGGTGATCAGTATTAGAAATTAGGGCCAGAGCTACATTTTCACAAATCATGTGTACTGCAGGTTTTTTTTGCACCAGAAGTGGAGGGCTGTCCTGTAGGGGCATCCGCTCTTAACCATGCAGACCACGCTGTGTCTGCCTCCTGCTCTGCACTCATCGGGCCAGGGAGGGTGTGCTCCCTACTCCAGAAGTCTCCTGCCCTGACCCATGCAGTTTCCTGCACACCAGCAGCAAGCGGCAGTCTGTTCTCCAGGAGCCCCTGCAGGCCTCTGTGGTTTCTTGACACTCCTCAGTGTGTGCCTGCAAGCGTCCTGACAGAGAAGCCTATTTCTCTCTAGATCTGAACGGCATAGATTTGATGC